ATGGGCTCTAATGACATTAACCTAACCTTCACACATAAAGATAACACATAATGAGGAAAAGGCAACCATGGAAGTGAAAGATAAGGGAAAATATAATATGGTCTTATTGATAAAATGTAATTCAAACACACTTGCTTTAGCTTCCCAGGAAATCAGGTTAATGAAACAGCAAAGAAGTGATAAATGATGATATGTATGTAGAAGTAAATTGCATGGGAGAAAAAGAAAGGGCCTTAAAAGGATAATTTGTGTGTATTATACAATGTGAGGAGTAAAGAACTCCTGAAACTATATGTTCTTTACAACCCCTTAGGAGTTACAATTCTGCTTTTATTTTCTCTCTCACACTCAAAAATTTAGAAAATTCTCAAGGAGACATGTTCAAATCTACCATGCAAAAGTGCTGCTACAAAAATTATAAAAAGAGAAAAATACTATTCTGGATCTTTCAGGAAAGTCAAAATTTCATATCTGATGTTATTCTAACAGGAACAGAGGTTTGACTAGACCAGTGCTTCTTGACCTTAGCTACACTTTGTAGTGACTTGGGGAGTTTTGGAAAATACTGATGTCTGGGCCCCACCCCCAGAGATTCTGATGTAATTGCTTTGGGGTGTGACCAAGGCATTAGGATTTTTTTAAATCTCCCCGGGTGATTCTCATGAGCAGCCAAGTACTGAGAAGCATTGTTCTGGTGAGCTTGTTGAGAGGTAATCCTTTTTTTGTTACCATTAACTTGCACAGAATGGTATTAATCAGGCATAAATGTTGAATAAATGAAATTGAAACTGTCTTTGAGGAATGACCATTCTATGTTGTTGAGATAATTTCTAGAAGAAATATTAAATATGTGTTTAGTTTTCATTCACTCTAATGCATTTGAAATAGAGACCTCTATCACATCCTAAGAAAAACCTCTTCTTTCCTTCACTATTTTTAGCATCAACTTTGACATCAAAATTCGATCATAGGTTTGCTTATAAATGCAATGCTTTCACCCATTCAGAAACTACTGAATACCTGCCAGTAAATAACTAGTCATTGGGCACATGATGCTAAACAAAATATTCAGTCTACTAGCGAATATAGACGAGAAACCAGATCATTTGCAATCAGTGAGATAAATGATATCATCAGAGAAGTTTGGTGTGCAATGACAGCCTATGAGAGGAGCCCTACAGTCTGGGCAGATCTGGTAGGCTTCCTGGGCAACACCACATCTATGCTAAAAATAAGACAGTAGGAGTTAGACAAGCAAAAGGTCACTGTCAAGGAGAGCTCTGTAAAGAAGGAATTACACGTCCGAAGGCCCCGACTGCCATGGCTTTCATGAATATATAAAAGAAGTTCAGTAGCATTTGAGCCTATGCTACAGAAGTGTGTATAAGAGCTGAAGGGAAGTGGTCTCCCAGGAAGATAATAAGCAATGAGGCTGGAAAAGTAAGCAAGGCATAGCTAGATTGTGTAGACACTGAAACTATCTTAATATTCAGCTTTTTCTCCCTAATAAAGTGGCAGGTAGGCTGGTCATTCATTTTTATGTGAGAAAATACATAATTGAATTTGAGTTTTTTGAGGATGATTTTTGCTAAAAAATGGTGAATGTGTTGAAGGGAAAAAGATTGGAGACAGAAGATCAGTTCAGAGATGAAATATGATAATAGTCTATTACAGAGCCACAGCAGCAGGAATGGAGAGAAACGAGCATATCTGAGTCAGTAAGATAATGATACCCAGAGTTGATAAACTGATTTGAGAAACGGTGATGGACACTGAAGAGTCTCAGGTGATGTGCAGGCAACCGGTTCAACCAGCTTCATGCAACACAGAAAGATATGTATATTTGAAAGGAATTACAATAGGCTCCATTTCGCATAGTTAAAAGTTGAGATATAGATGGTGTATCCAAGTAGCAATATCCATAGGCAGTTGGTCTTATGCGCCTTATGGCCCTTAAGGGAAAATACTATAGTGGCAGGTATGAATTTAGGAATCATCAGCATGCAGATAGTAACTGAGGCTACAGGGTGAGTGAGCTTCGTGCCTGACAAGTTGGAAAGGAGAACTCAGAGAAACATCAACTTTGAAGAAACTGGCAGAGGAAAAACAGCAAGAAAAGGAAATTGAGGATAGACAGGAAGAAGGAACATCGAGGAGCAAAATGGAAGAGAATCAAGGAAGAAGAGCTTCAAGAAGGAGGGTGTGACCAACAACGCTGTTACAAAGATCCTGACTCCATTTTTGAGGTTGAACTTCCCAGGTTGTATTCATGTGTCTGTCTTTATTCCTAACCCAGAGACAGCATAGAGCATGCAGGGGATGAACATGCCATCCCTGCCATCCCTGGGTAGAATGAGACAAAGCTGGAACAGGGATCTCAGAGGAAGTCAAATCCTTTTGTCTTGAAATTGTGGACTTGAGAAGAAGCAGGAAGGGAATGTATTTGGCTGGCATTTTAGTAATTGTTTCCTTCTTTAAAAAAAAAAAAAAAAGAACAAAAATAATACCTTGCATAGCATATGTATTAAACTTCAAAGTTTGTAAAATGCTTTCATGACACTGCCTGACATTCAGCCTTAAAACAACACTGCTGGATAGAAATAATTACTACTTCCCATATTATAGATGCAAAAACTGAGATACATGGATATTGAGTATTTTGCTCAGGATTGTATAAACGAATTGCAAATATAACCTTCAGATTTTTGTTTTGTTTTTTTTACTACACTGTACAGTAGCATAAAATTAGCATGTGACCATTTTCTCTGGGCTGATTTCCCTTCTGCTTTTTTCAATCCCCTCTCTCTGTGCTTGCACGTCCTAGAAAGAAGTTGAGGGCTCCATTTATACAATACTGGGCTTTTTCCACATGCAAGGAACAAGACTGACATAGTTCACTGAGTAAACATAAGCCTCAAGTGGCAGAGATTTATGCCAGACTTGCAAACTTCTGATTACCAATCCACCACCTGCTACGTAAACAGGCGTAAACTAAGATTTAATCGGCTTACACATGTGGCAAATAAGTTAATCTTTCCTCAGCACGGTGATTTTGAATGTCAATGTTTAAGCACAAACTGATGCTGACACTGTGATGCAAGCATCCACTTTCTCAGTCAGAAAAGCTGTGTCCAAAACTGGCCCTCAAAACCAGAACTCCACCCAGAGTTCTGGGTACAGGCCTCATTTTTCCCAACATAAAGCTGAGATATGGCCCAGAAAACTGGTGATGATCTTGCTGTATTTAATTCTTCCTGGTCCTGAGACATTTCTCTGGCCCCCTGGTCATTTATTCTTCATGGTACTTATTCTGCAGGTATCTGAGGTGGCTGGTGTGGAAAAGGGAGGCAAGATAAGAGAGAAAAAAAGCAAGAAAACAGCAGCCTTCAGGCTAATTGTAATAACATTTTTACTTGAGTATTACCTGGATACTCACTGCCTGTCAATGCGAGCCTATGCAAATTGCTTCTAGGTGCTATGAAAATCACATGCAAATGTGCTCTTGGTTGTCAAAAACTGTTTACTATACCTGCTAGAGCCCACTGAACTAGAAAGTGCAGCCTCCTGTGAATTTTTCATCAGTATTGTTTATGTTCTAATCAGTCTGACCCTTCCCTCTGGTGGAGGGGGCAGGGTATAGGCTTGCTCTTCCCCTCCCACATATTAGCCTGGGCCTTTTCTAGAGTGGAAGGCCCTGGGAGAGGCCATTGCTCTATTAGCCAAATGTTAACATGGGTGGGAGATCAACTAGAGAAAGGATAAGTGTGAGCCAGATAGTCGGTTTCCTAGTTTGTTTTCTGTCCCCTTAGACCATCGTAGCTTACAAGCAAAGGCTGTATGCCCTGGCATCACTGACAATACCATGGCTGGGATTTTGTTAGTTCAAAAACAAAATCTTAAAAGAATACGCGTCAACAGGCTTTGAACTAAGTGCTAGGTAAGAAGCAAATTTGGTTTTCTCCTGTACCTACATAATTTATGGTAGAGAAAGAATAACTACTATTTCCTAAATGCAAGGAATTAATTTTTCTGAAAGATTTTTGTTCACTCAGAAAAAGTTTCTTTTTCTGAAACCATTTATTGAGTAATTGGCACAAGTCAGGCACTGGGCTGGATATTGAGTTAACCTTGAGTTGGATATTGAGTTGAAGGCTGAATTATCCTTCAACTCAACACTGATGCAAGCATTATCTTAAACTTAAAAGGATAAAAAGGAGACCTAGAGGGAAAGAAGAAAACAAGACCCGAAGAGTTAATCAACCTTCCCGATGTAACTCAGCTGATAAAGGAGGGATGAGGATTTGAAGCCCAAGATGACTCTCTTGGAAGCCCTTCCTCTTAAATTACATTATAAAGCTTTTGTTCTTTCAGATCCCCCATGACATTGGGAAAAAAGTGTTTCTGGCCATGGGTCTAGGAGTGCATATACATAAAAATCAGAAAGGAGAAAGAAGGAAGACATAATAACAATATTAATAGTCAAATGAGTTGTTTCATATTTTAAAAATAAGTTTACTAAATTTTATGTTTTATTCATATAATTCATTTACTTCCTATATCAGCCCTAACTGGTAGGTATGATTATCATCATCCCCTTTTTACAGAAAAGAACACTGAGGCAGAGAAAGGAATCTTCCCAATATCGACAGCTCCTAGGTGTCTGTACTGGGGACTAGGCCAGGCCTGCAATTGTAAACTAGACTGACAAGGATATGCCAGCACAGAGTTGGATTCAGGTAACATGTATAACACTTGGGACACTGCTAACTCTTATTTTCAAGGAAAGCGATCATTAGGGCATAAACTATTTTAAAAAGTATGCAAGTGAGACTGTGGGATCTTCTAGGAGAGAGAATATGTTTGCAGAAAGCACAGCAGGTCCCCTGCCTGTCATGACTGGAGAATATATCCCTGTAGGTAAAGAGAGATGGTACAGAAAGGCAAACATAACGAGCAGTGAGGTAGGTAGAACTGCAAAGACCAGGAACAATTCAACTTACTTCCTGACTTTACCCTCCGCACTCTCCATCACATAGTACCCTGGTTTGCACTCATATTTGCAGATGGTGCCCACGTCGTGGTTGGGCTGGAGGCAGTGAGGCAGGAGCAAGTTGGCATTTGGAATAACAGGGGGAGCATCACACTCCAACTTGCAGTAGACTTCAGGGAAAGACCAGAGACCATCTTCGAGACACGTCAGCCATGGGTTCAGTCCTGAATCCAGGAAAGAGAAGCAGAGATGCTCAGAACAGAGACCCCAGAGAGATAATAATAGCAGATAAAATGAAAACCTCTCAACATACTGGCGTCTTTCAAAAGTCACATTATTCTTTCTTGAACAGCATGTCAAAAATCCCATGCCAAATGTTTGTCCTGCATCTTATTACTTATGGAGTATCCAGTGTGATGCTCTTATATAAAACAGAGGTCAGAGAAATCTTCCTTGACCCAGATGAAAGAATGGCCATCAACTAAATCATTACTTATTTTCCTACCTACAAACAATAAAAAAGTATCATGGAAAGCATTAAAATAATAATAGATGACACTTTTATAGTGCTTATTATATGGCAGGCACTGTTCTAAGCATTTTACATGTATTAACTTGTGTAAACTTCAAACCTCAAACAACCCTATGAAATAGATCCTATTATTATACCCTATTATGCAGATGAGGAAATTGGGGATTGGTAACTTGCCCAAGGTAGTAAGGGGCAGAATCAGGGTTTGAACAGAGGTAGTTTGGATGCAGAGTTCTGTATTTAAACACTATACCATATGCCTCAGTGCAATTCATGGTTTCTCCAAATGCAATCCATGAACTACTCACCATAGCCTTATTATCTCACCCCAGACTCACTAAGCAAGAATCTCTTGGAGAAAGGTTCAGGAATCTGCAATTATAGCAAGCTTTCTGAGTCGCTGTTAGGCACACCAAATTCTAAGAAGCTGCCAGTTAGAGCAGGTTCCACCCCACCTTCATCTCTACCCAGCAGCACTAAAGTCAGGGACAAATTCACCAATTACTCTGAAGATGGTTGTAAATATTAAATTTTAAAATGTGTACAATAAAATGTAGCTTAATTATGAATATTATCAAGACAACCATTCTAGTAGGCTTGCCTCTGGGCTATACAACATCAAATAAAAATAGAGAAAAGTCTCTGATTCTTTCATTCATGAGAATCTGAGCCAATGCATCCTTTCAAGTAGCTGGGGACAAAGAACGGTGTTGCCCTTTGAGACTTTTCTGGAGTTATCAGAAGATGTTGACACCGTGGAGCAAATGGGAAAGGAGTCAGGGTAAAGGAAAGAACCCCAATATACCCTCAAGAGTGAGGGACTAAAGAGAACTTGCATACAGTTCCTGGTTGGCCAGACAATACCTTGCAGCTTGGCTGGTGGGAGACAAGAGATTGAGCAGCGTTTCAGAAAGCTGGTTCCCTCTGAGCAGGAGAAGTCTGCATGGTTCACCAAAGACGGGTCAGGAACACCACAGTCCACGGGAAGGCAGCTCACATTCTGGTCCCAGTGCCCAGAAGAACATGTGAGCAGAACTTCCTTCTAGAAACAGAGAAATTGCTTCTGTCAAAGTCACATTTTTAAAAGGCTTATCAGAGTAGTTTCCAGGCTTTAGAAGAGTCTTGGTAATTATCTGTCCAAACATTTAAAACAGGAAAAACTTTTTTTGCCTTTCTCCTTCTTCAGGCCTCATTGTTTTAACATACATTCTTACAATACTCAGTATGATGCTGATAAAAGCAGCCTACTAGTGTCAGAGAATCATTAAATGGCAAGCTGCTTTCCAGTTGCTTCTCCAGACCTATTCTCTTCCCTTCTCCACCCTGCTCTGGGCCAGGGAAACTGACCCCAGTGGGTTTCATGCCTCTGACTTGTGCTTGCATTCAGATTCAGGACCTGGTGTCAGGAGCCTGGAGAGGGAGAGGAGAAGATGGGTGCCAGCGTGCTGATTCTCCCCACTTTCTTTCAAGGGTCACTGCGGGTTGGCTGTATCTTTTGGAAGCCTGCTTCACACAGTTTTGTCTCCTTCTTCCTGTGATTCGGCACTCCTACAGTAAACCTTTCAGGCCTAGGGGTGATAACTGACCCTCTTTACCAGGGACGCTACACCATCTCCCTGTGATTTTTCCATATCCTGCCTGCACATTTATGAGTGGTCCCTTGATTAAATTCTCTCAAATTGCCCACTTTCGAATATGTCATCTGTCTCCTGCTGGCACTCTTATTAATAAGCCAACTGATAATGTTGCTGAAAATAATTAACTCCACTGAGAATAGTGGTGAGAGTTAATGCATACGAGGAATCTTCCAAACCTGTGGTTAAATGTGAGAGAGTCCAGTCATTTCCTAGGGCCTGTCATTTCAGTAGGGTAGCCCTAGAGCACACTGCTACTAATTCAATGAAGAGACATTTATTGAGCACCTAGGAAGGCCAGGTCCTGTCCTAAATGAGATACTCTCCAGGAGCTAAAAAAACTATCAGGCAAGCAAATTGCATGTTGAAACAATGGTTCAAAAACATGTGAAGGAAGGAGAATAAAAAGGAGCAAAGGAGGGAGGAAGGCAGAAAAGAAAGTAAAGAAGGAAAATGTTAGAGCTACATTTTTGTTTGTTATATCCTATCCCCTTCTGTAACAATTGGAAAGAATGCAATATAAAGACTGCAAACCATGAAACATAAGTAGAAAACTGAGATCAAAAAGTAAGAAAACATAAATATGCAACAATAAAGCTATATTGTATAATGCATGCTCCTCTATGATGGTACAACAGCATTTTGGGAGCTGGAGGAGGATCTGCCATCCTTGGTCAGGGAGGAGAGCATGTAGGAGAAGTTTCAGAGCAGGTAATACAGGATTGGCCTTTGAAAAATGATCAGGACTTCCCAGCAGAACAGGGGGAGGTAGGAGAAGAAGGTGTCTAGGGTAGGGGAATGTAACAAGCCAGTACCTGGAGACCTAGAAGCTTATGGCTTGTTTGCAAAACATGCAGCCAACATTCTACCTACTGGATTATCAAAGGCCTAAGACAGAGAGGGGAGTTTCTATGGCTGAGGCAGCCATCCTGCCAGGAAACCACAGTGGCACCAAAGCCAAAGGTAAAATGACTGCTGAAGGCACCTGTCACCCCGACGCCAACTCCTGGCTACCTGCTCCTCCCTGCCTCCCAGGGTTTCCCTATTGCTTGCCAGAAGGACCCAATTCAAAGCCAGACACATTTTTCTGTTTAGTTTCAATTCTTGTGTCAACAAAAAGCAAATATCCCCAGAGTCTTGTGATGACAAGCAGGGAATGTATAATTTCCTTCACGGGGTCAGCCTCAGGTGACAACACGTTTGGTCAGCTGAACAGTGCTGTTGCTTACTGAGCCATTGTCAAAGGAGGAGCTCCCACCCTCATTCAGTCCAGACGCTGCCCCTCACATGTGTAACCTAGCCTACAAGTCTGGCTCTAACCACAACTAGCCACTGTCACTTAAAGAATGCCTCTCGAGGCTAGGTGCAGTGGCTCACGCCAGTAATCCCAACATTTTAGGAAGCTGAGGTGGGCAGATCCGAGGTCAGGAAATTGAGACCATCCTGGCCAACACGGTGAAATCCCATCTCTACTTTGTGTATTTTTATACAAAAAATTAGCCAGTCACGGTGGCATATGCCTGTAGTCCCAGCTACTCAGGAGGCTGAGGCAGGAGAATCACCTGAACCCAGAACGCAGAGGTTGTAGTGAGCTGAGATCGCGCCACTGCACTCTAGCCTGGGAGACAGAGTGAGAGGCTGTCTCAGAAAAAAAAAAAGAGAATGCCTCTCATACTTTTCGTATATTGCCTGGAGCTTCTCCTGTCTCTGTTAGGTACTGTCCATTTTGTACTGAATTTGCTTCTAATTTTAATGAATTACATATGTTGTCTTTTCTTCTCTCCCCTTCTCCACTTATCATGAGTGGATTCAGTTCCTGTATTTTTTTCCATTCTTTTTATTTCTTTTTCGGAGTGGACATTCCTTTGTCTGAGCCGGATGGATGAAGAACAGGTAATAAAGGCTCTGCCTTCCTGACTAAAGCATCACAGACCAAGAAGTTGGTGCCTCAAAGTATATTAAAGTCGTTTTTCTCTAGGCAGAACCTAACCCAGCTGAAGCCAAAGAGCATACGTATAAATCCTCACACCTCTAAGCAAGTGAAATTCTCCCACAGGTTTCCAACCTGTTCAGCAATCAATTGGCACAAAATAAAAAAAAATCAACCCTTGTAAATCACTGATGTCTAGCTACCAGCTGTGTGTCCACTCTTTCCTTATGAGACCACGTCTTTCTGTTTTTTCTTGGAGCACAGTCATCTCTTGTCTAGTTCACCCTTTTTCTATGTTACAATATGGTCATGTTTTCTAATGGTTGATTTTGTGTTTACGATTTCTCTGTAGGGTACTGAAGACTCTCTAAAGGAAAGATGGAAAACGGAATTCGTAGTTGAGAATACATGACCATTCTGCTCCTAATACTGACAACAGTTAGAGTGCTGTATACTTATCGTTTTGCCAAAAGCATTTAAATTATTTCCAGTCATCATAATAACTCAATCAGATAAGTTCTCTGTTTTTATCATTTTTAAAATGTGAAAACAAGCTTAAAGAGATTAATTTCTTTCTTTTTAACCCAAAGTTACACATCCCACTATATATGTGTAACTTTCTTTTAACCCAAAGTTACACATATTTAGTGGAGCCAAAATTTAATTCTGATCTGTCTTCTGAGCCATCCTGTTAATCTACATATTCTACTACCTCCAAACCATCTTGAAATTCTGAAAATGGTACTGTAAAAATTTGAAATGGAGCTCGTAGAAATTTGGAAAATTTGGCCAGAGTTAGAATCACGATAGAATCTCTGCCTCGGTAACAGCTTTAATTCTTCTGGGAAGAAAATCGGGTTCTATCTCTCCAGTCTTTTTATAAGGAGGGTTGTTGGAGGATGGACAATGTGAACCACAGACATGTTGATTACAACCAATCTTTCCTGAAAACACACATGTCTGAACTGTGGTGTTCTCATCTTAAAGGCAAAAGGAGGGAACATGATTTCTGATGGAAAGACAAACAAGGGAGAAGAACAGAATAAACATTCTCATTTACTGCCCACCTTAGGAAAAATTTACAACCCTGTACATACTTTTAGATACCTTGCATTTCTATTAAGCCATGCTTCCCTCTGCTTGTTAGAGCCCCCACATTTTTCTTTCAAATGGTTTAAAAACATCTGCTCTTTCCTTGTGTAGCCAGAGTTAAGAGTATGAACACCTCCCCTTTCCAGGAATTTGGTCCTGGTGATCACGATATTTCAACTCACCTGCATGGGTCTGATGTACTGCCCACTGCTGGCCTGAAGGACAAATCCCCTTTGACAAGTGATAGCACACTTCATAAGACCTGGGCCTTCAGAGGTACAGTTTACCACATCAGCGTGATCAAGCAGCAATGACGGACAGCTGTCCTGCCTCCCACAGGGCCGATGGACACAGCTGGGATGAAAGAAACAGAAGTATCTTAGGACTGGTTGAGAACCAACAGACAGCAGCAATGACTTTGCACCTCCTTCTGGGAGGGCTTCTAAACCAGAGAGAACAATTTTTCTCCAAAACCAATATTTAACTCATAACCTTTTTTCTCTACTACCCAACACCATGCAGCATAAAAAACATTACAAATAACAGCTAAATAGTAACAATTAGTTCAGTTTCTGTGGCTCTTTCTTCCAGGAGGATCAAATGTGATGAAATAAGGTGGAGAACAGATTCTGAAAGTTCTGTGTGGTTCAGAAATGAATAGATCATGGGATGACACTCAAAATATTTAACAACCAGTATTGCTGGGTTCCAAGCAATTAGAACAAATCCAGGACAAAGCTGAGGAGTGAATCCTGGAGGCCCCTAGTTATGTCAGGCATCAATCTTTCTAATGTTGGATCACAAGGTGACACAGAAGGCCATGTCTGAAGGGACTAGGTATCTGAGATAACATAAGGCAACACCAATTTACCGATTGGTATGGAAATATTTTGACAACCACGAAGCCATAGCAGTACATACCACTGAATATCAGCAAAGGCTGAGCAGAAATTGAACCGATTACTGGAAGAGGAAACTCACACATCTTGAATCCATGTCTCATGCCTAATCTTACGCTAGATGCTTCCACAGACTTCCTCTCAGCAGAGAACTGCTGCTTGGATTGCTAGGGCCAATCTAGACTCAGGCTAGACCGTAACAGCAGCAAGACTACACTGGAGCAAAACAAGTGTTACCCTCTTGCAATGGCAGAACTGTAGAGGTTATCAATTTGGGCATTAGCCTTGGGCTCTCTGGAATTGTATCCTGGACCCATCATTTACTACCTGTGCGATTTGGAGTGAGTTATTCATTTCCAAGTGTTTCAGCTCCTTCCCCTACAAGATAGGGACAAGTATGGCAACTTCACAGAGTTGCTATTCCTCTACTGCTTTACTGCAAAAGGCCTCACTGGTCTGTTTGCTGTTAGTCACCCTATATTTTTGTTCTCCCATTTGTACCTTTGCTCAGTTTGTTGAGATTTCTAAAAGGCCTTCTGCTATGGTTGGGATATGGTTATCCCCACAAAAACTCATGTTGAAATTTGATTCCCAATGTGGCAGTATTGGTAGGTGGGGCCTAGTGGAAGGTGTTTGAGTCATGAGGGTGGATCCCTCATGAATCTTTTTGTAAGGAGGGATCCACCCTCATGAATGGCTTAGTGCTGTTCAAGTGGTGGTTGTGACTGAGTTAGTTCTCACTGAAATAGGTTAGTTCTCATGAGAGTGGGTTGTTTTAAAGTGAGGGTGCCTCTCAGGTTTTGCACATTTGCATGTGTTTGCTTCCGCCATGTATGACACAACAAGAAAGCTGAGCAGACGCCAGTGTTACGTTTCTTGCACTTCCCAGCCTATAGAACCATGAGCTAAGTGAATCTCTTTCCTTTATAAATTACCCAGTATCAGGCATTTGGTTATAGCGACACAAAATAAGCTAAGACACCTTTCTTCTCAAAGAAGTCACTTCAGATATCCTCTTCCTTTGAACTTCCCAGTGAAATTAAAAAAATAACTCTCCTAGCATATCTTTTGCTTTATCTTGTGTTATAGTTATGTATGCATTTTCTCATTCTTTAATTAATGAGTCAACTTATTTATCTTTTTATTCACAAAGTAATTAGTATCTAAGTATCTCCAAAATGGTGAATGTCACAGCTAGATTATGGACATTTTGAAGAGGAAAACTGACTCTTACTCACTTTTTATTCAACATATGCCATGCTGTAGTCGACCCAATTAAAATTAGCTGAATTAAGATTGCTCATGTTATAGACAGCAAAGTCAGTCCATGGCTATGAAAATGAGAAATTTGTTAAGCTTTATAATAGTAAATGAGGATTTCATATATGAAAATATCATTAAACACGAATTCAACCATCTTGCTCCACTCATTCATTAATAAGCATGTACTAAGCACTTACTGTTGGGAAGCCCTCAATCTGAGTACCTTTGGTACTAGAACCATGCTCTTAGGGAATATGTAGTCTAGTATGGAAGACTGACAAGATATTTTCTTGCTCTTGATGTTGTTGCCTGTGGTGCTAATTATTAGCCCAAAAATACAACTACTAGGAGTCTTGTCATCAGTAGTGTGCTCTGTTTGCCCCTGAATTGTGTTAGTGGTCAACAACTTCATCAAACATCTAGGCAAAAATATAAAAAAGTAGAAAACAAAATGTCATCGAATATGCACATAATGCCTTCAAATAATTGAGACTTGACTTAACTAGCCCAAAAAGGGTGGATTCTAACTAAACATGCTAAAGTTGCGGCCCTGATCTTATGCCCTTGGGATTTAAATTATATGCCAGTGATACTCTCATTTCTTTTATCTACGTTTATTAGGTAGGAGTTGGAAGAACTGGAGGTGATCAGTGTGAAAAAAAATGTTTCCTCAAGTTTAAACCCTGGTTATTTTCTGTGATGATGAAGTATCCATTATGGGACCTGATGAAGGAAGAAATAAATAAGTTGGGGGGTGATAATGAGTCAGCATGAACCCCCCAAATTCAATGCTGATATACCCCTCAAATTCAATGCTGATATACAATGTAGGAAATAAATCTTTGTCTTCAAGTATTTATTTAATCTATCTGATAAGGAAGATAAAATCTAACCATCCTTTATGGCATGTGAGCAAGATGCTTCATTAGTGATGCTAAAGAACTCCTAGATGCCACATGGTATGGATGTCCCAAACATAAACTCTTCTTCAGCATGTTGAGCAGGAAGTACTGGAAATGGAGAGTCATTAGTACTCTGGTTCACATCAGTTTATCGGAAAGAAATTAAGGTAAAAAGAGTGACTTCAGCCAATTAATCCATGCCATCATTGAGGACAAATACGTGTTGAGACAAGACACAAAACAAATGCTCTGCATGAGCCTTCCTCCCTCAAGATGGGAACTACTACTGCTATGACTACCAGTGTGAGAAGCCTGTCCATCAGGGGCAACATGGGAGAAGACTGAGACAGGGGAGAATATGAGAGGGAAAAGTGGCATGAAATAAGACCAATACCAAAAAGAAGGACCAAACCCAGACCTGTTTATGAAGTGAGAAATGGTTTTAGGGCAGCTGCTGCAAATTCTTTCACTAGCTTATATTTCCATTTGCTTCCTTTTTAAGGAATTTGTTTTATGAGGACAGAGTTTGTCAGGTCATTAGCTTCTGATGGCATCTGGTACCAATTGTAGACTTTTCTCCCTTGCACCCCAACCCCAAAACCCCTTTTGTGTTTCTATTCCACTACAAACACTGCTTCTCTGAGTGAGGCTGTTGTGTTCTCCATTATTCCACCCTCCTGATACATTCTCCTTTCTACCTAATGCTACATAAGTAGTAAAAGTAATTCATACTAAAACTTTTTAAAAGCTTTCTTCTTATGGTCTTTGGACAAACCTTACTGAAAGTGGCAGAAGTGAAGCCTTACAATGCCCCAGAGAAGTGGGAAGTTAGATATTTATCTTGGTTTGACATACAAGGAAACTAAAGCTGTTTGGAGACTGGCTGGAGGCCACACAGCAAGTCAGAGGAAAATCCTCAGGCTGGATCTCAGAGCCCTCACTCTCAGGGCCAGCCTAGACCACCGGGCCATCTCCCATGGGATGAGGTTGTTTTCCTGTTGCTCTCTTCCCAATTCAGGAGCTGGCAGCAGAGGCCAGAGTGAGCCAAAAAGCTACTCAGCAGGGTAGGCAAGGAAAAAACATAGCATATCTTAACAGTCCAATAGTTTTGAGCAGTTCTGTTTTAAATAACAGTAAATCAAAGTGATGATATTTATCCAGCTGTTGCTGTCTGCATGATGCCCTTCCCAGTGTGTGTCCTTTTTTGGCAACACCCACTTGTCTTCCATCTGTGTTTCCAGCTCTTTCCCCACCACATTACAACGTGTTCTCAGGTAAGAAAATGATGGACCCAGTCAGACGTGATTCGCAGGTATTTCCATTTTAACAAGAGTCAGTGTTTTAATCCAAAGGATTGAGTTTTTCACAAGGGAGGTTTAAATCAGTAGGTCTTTAGAAATCACAGTATGTAGATGGTCACCTGCATATAACCCTTGCTTTGCTCTTTGCCTCTCTGCTCTGATAAGCTCCTACCCTCTTTCTGTTGGTCTTCACTTCCAATGCCATTGTGTTACAAGATTTTAAAAAATACTTTTTATTGAGGAATTTTTGTTCGAAATGTATGTTAAGCCTTGGCTACTGTCCTCTTGTATAGAACCAGCCCATGTGCACCCAGCCACAATCCTAGCAATGCCCTGCAATAATGGCATGTGTTTTTCCTTTGTTGGTTGCATATGTGAATGATGCCTGTATTTGTGAAGCCTCTGTTGACATAATTCCTCAAGATTGGTCCTGTTATTCCATGATGTAGGCTTTACCATAGGTGTGTGTTAGACTCACTTAGGAAGCTTTTAAAAAATATACTCCTTATTTATCCCCTGAAAAATTTGATTCTGTAGGCTTGCAGTGGGGTTCCACCATCTGATGCTTTTAAGTTTCAAAGTGTTGATGCTTACTAGGAGTAAACCTCAACCCCATAAAGATCTAGATATATGTAACCTGAAAGATATGTCAATAACTTCTATAGGCTAAGACTATAAAATAGCAAGACTGACTCCAGAAGGAGACAGTGGCCCCACTGCTTCATCATTACGTTTTACTATATTAAATTATCATGAAGACACCACAAGGTAGATCAAAAGCATAAAACATATCCCCTATTCTGAAGAAACTCTGAATATAGCTGAAAAGAAAAAATAATTAAATCATGTGTTACTGATTATAAAATCATGGCTATTTCTGAGAAAAATGTATTATTGAATTCGATGTGGCTTTCATGTATGAAGAGAATTTGGAAAGGCAAGAGATGTCCTGGAAAGTTTTCTCCAACTCTTTATAGACAGAACAAAGG